TTTGACTGCTAGGAAACATAAAGAAAAATTTTAAGGACAATGTAAGAAGCAGTTTTTGCATCTGCTTTGGTTTTGTTTTCAGAAAAGAACACCTGGAAGTTGAGACAGAAAGAATGAAATATCTAAACTAGTTGTTTGGTTAGGGAAAATCAACTTTATTTACTGGAAGGAATGTGTTACATATTGTATCTCATTTCATTGGAAAGTTACTGCTGTGAAACAATGAAATACAAATTCTTTACTTTAGAATAAAGCCAAACGTGCTTCATTTCAGGTTACCAAGATATCACTGAAAAAAGGGCCAGCACTTTCTAATCACAGTGTCCCCATTCCTACATCTAAGGCACAGCAGGATGTTGTCTACCTTGCGCATCTAAGTTTCAAACTAGGACCCTTAAGGACATCAAAGGGCATCCACTGATACAGTGAGACTTCAAAACTGTGGGGAGTCTGTCAAATTGAAGAGCTGCATATTATCCACAGGTTAACAATGATTTATCTGCCTTACTCTTCTTCCTTTTGGGAGGAGGTGCTCACGCCCTGCATACATAGTCCTTTATCTGCCCATAAGGCACTGTGTCAAGCTTCAAGTAGAATGTACAAGTTGATCTCCTGGCAGTGTAGTCAAAAGGATGCTGGAATTTCTGGGGATGCTCAGGACTCCAGATCAGAGGTCCATGAACAGTGGACACTGGTGCTGATAAAAGCCCTCACTGAATGAGCCCTCGAAATCAGAAAGAGATGCCACTGCTGGGAAATACATTTTCAGAGCTCTCAAGGAGAGACGGAAAAGATTTCCACATACCCAGACCCAAGGGGAGAGTTTTTCTGTAGCAGCATCTCCAGTTCTGAACTATGTGGACAAACCGGGTTTGTGTCATCAGACACCAGACAGATGACAGTCATCTTGGAGGAGGCAAGATTTGATTTCTTGCTTCATATCACTCCCGCCCTGTATCTTGCCTTTCATAGGAGTCCCACTCCCTGGCCAGATCTGGAGGATCTGAGGCTAGAAGCCTCAGAATTGGGAGGGAACAAGGACAGATTGACTTCAAAAGCAGAACTGTGTGGAGTTCTTCCTCCTCCACCCACTAAAAAGGATGAAGTGAAGGAACAGAAAGATGTAGAGGGCTTGAGTGAGGAGGCTCCCTATGGAGACAGTCTGGAGCTAAAGCACCAGGCTGAAACATCCACAGAGGAGGCACTTCAGAGCACTTCTCCTGCCGGGTGAAGGCTGGGCATTGTTGTATGGACGGTGCCAAGGACATGATGCCCTACAAGCATAATGCTGAATCTCCACAGCCCACCCAAAAACTGACACTGCCTGTTTTGAAGCCCTTTCCCACCACTGCTCAATGCTTTCTCCATAGCCCCTACACACAGCTGGGAGCACAGGAGAATCTATTTCTCACCATTTGTTAAAATGCCCTCCCTGCAGGCACCCTGACAATCAGCTTCCTGCCTCCCAGCCCAGACTTATATTACTAACCTGATTCACAAACAGCACCAGTGCCCTCTGGAGAGCTTTTAGAAGAGTTCTGCTCTGCAGGGAAAGAAACAAAATATACAGTCAGACACTGCCACATCTCTGCATGTTCATGTACCAGAGAGGGAAGAAAGCTATGAGTTAGCTCCAGCACTGCACAGACCCATAGGGACCTACTGAAACAACCTGAGATCTGGGGTCATCACTGGGGCTATGGTTCATGGGAGTGATGTTGCCAAACTGCTGGCCAGTGAGGACAGCATCCAGCAGTGAAAGGAGGATGGTCAGCTCTGTTGGGAACAAATTGATGTTTGTTGGAGAACTCTGGGAACACAGTAATCCCTCTGCCAATTTAAAAAAAAAAATGTCGGAGACTGCGCCTGTCAGCACATGAACACTGTCTGCAGTCCAGGAGCCTGGAACGGCTCACAGCAACATCAATAAGTCTCAGCAGCATTGGCCCCAGGTGAGGAACTCAGCAAAAGGCAGTATGGAGCAGATCAGGGTGTATGGAGGAGCAGCTGATGTAGAGCTGAGCTCCAAAGGCAGAAAAAACATCTGAGAGACACTCAACTTTGTGCTCTGCTAGTGCTGCATCGTAATTTTCTTTTGGAGGCTGTTGGATCAAATTCCTGCCCTCTCCAGTGATACCATTTGGTCTTTAAAAGGAAGGATATTTAGCTAGATGGGAAAAGTTCAAGTCCAGTCCTAGAAACTTGAGGCCAGACTCTCCTGTGCTACGTCCTTCCCTACACAGTCTCACAGCTGACCCTGGAGCAGATGGGTCTGTGGGGAAGGACCTTACCCCTTTCCTGGTATATTTAGACACTGTCACTGGTGCTACTCCCTAATTATTTCCTAAATTAAATATTTATCTAGCCTGGAGAGAGTTTTATGAGTCAAATAACCCTGGAAAAAATATTCTGGGCAGTATGGGTCAAATGAGAGAGGAAAAACCTATAGCCGAGAGCAGTAATAAATGCACCATCTGTGATGAGGCAGACAGAACACGTATCGTGCGCTAAACAGTCATTACACACTCGTTTAATTCTCACATTAAGCCAGGAGTTCCCTGAATGATAGAGCCCTAATTTCCCACCAATTTACATCCTGTATCTCTGCCTGACACTGCAGCAGTACCAGCTCCTTCCTGTGCTGTGATTCTCTAAGAAACCACATCACAACGCTGTACCAACATACAGCAAAGCTCAATGCTGGCCCTTAGAGGAGGGAATGGTGGTATTTTGCTCACTCAGGAGCACCAAGACATGTGTGTACCTGTGTGTCCACCCAGCACTGAGGCAGTAACCTGTGTGTGTCCAGGCAATCTGCCCGATTCCTTGCAGTGGCATGGAGGATGGATGTTTATGAAGTTGTCCTTGTTGACTGAGGATGCACTTCTAACCCAGTTCTCACCTACCCTTGCTGAGGTCTCCTATCGTTCCTCTGAATGTCTCTCCTATCCACCTGTTTATGCCTGTGCCCCTGCTCTGCAGCTCTAATTCCTCAGGACGGCCTTTCGAGGCAGCTTGGAGCTCATGTCTAAACTGAGAGCCACGGGTGGGGACATCGGCTTATGGGGAGCAAAGGCAGAGGTGAAGGAAGGCCCTGGCAAGCAGCATGGGGACTTTGAGGACAAGAAGCTTTTCATGCACCGATAAAAAGCACCACAGGGGAAAGTCAAAACCTGGCATCTACAAAGCTTTCCTCTTCTCTTTCCCACAAGCCCAGCTTGTTTCTTTTAAATGAGGTCTCTGGCCAGCAATTCTTTTCTTACTGGAGACTTTTCAGTGAGGCAGGGACTTGTCTTCCTACAAGCAGTGTCACTACCAAAGCTGCCTGCCACCACCTCCTGGCCCTGGAGCATTACACTGCTGCTGCCTCTTGTTTCACCCACAATACTCCAAAGATCAATGCACAGGAATGAGACAACCTCTGACCACAAGCACAGCAGACATGTTTGGTTGCTGCCTTCCTGCAGAATGACTCCGCAGAAGAGGGACGTGGGTGGACCAGGCAAAGGGCAGAGTAGAGCAGCAAAGTCCAGGCTGCATGGGGAAGTAGCACTGACTTTAACCATTTTTCATACAATCATAGAATGGTTTGGGTTTAACGGGACATTTAAAGACCTAGTTCAACCCCTCCCCCGACAAGGGCAGGGACATCTTCGACTAGATCAGGTCACACAAAGCCCCGTCCAACCTGGCCTTGAACCCTTCCAGGGAGGGGGCAGCCACAGCTTCTCTGGGCAACCTGTGCCAGCGCCTCACCTCCCGCACAGGGAAGAATTTATTCCTTACATCTAATCTAAATCTCCCCTCTTTCCGTTTAAAACCATTACCCTCCATCCTATCCCCATCCCCTGACCCAGAGTCCCTCCCCACCTTTCCTGCCCCCCCTTTAAGCCCTGGGAGGCCGCTCAAAGGTCTCCCCGGAGCCTTCTCTTCTCCAGGCTGAACCCCCCCAACTCTCTCAGCCCGGCCTCCCAGGGGAGCTGCTCCAGCCCCCCGAGCATCTTCGTGGCCTCCTCTGGCTTGGCTTGAGCAAGGCCGTGTCTTTCTTATGCTAGGGGCCTCAGAGCTGGACACAGCACTTGATGTGGGGTCTCACGAGAGCGGAGCAGAGGGGGAGAATCCACTCCGTCACCCTGCTGCCCACACTGCTCTTCTTGCACCCCAGGGCACGGTTGGCCTTCTGGGCTGTAAGCGCACATTGCTGGGTCTTGTCCAGCTTTTCATCCACCATTATCCCAAAGTCCATCCGCACAGGGCTGTAGAGATTCACCTTCTTGACGGGTGCTTCTCACCTACCACTCAGAGCTGGAAGAGGCCGATGGTAATGAGGATTAAAGAGGTACAGGAGAACGGTCTCGTCCCCCAGTGAGGCTTGCAAAGCAGAACCAAGTCCTGCGTCCCTGACCAGAAAAAGAACAGGCTGACATGGGGGTTATCCCCTCAGCGAGAGACTCAGGAGGGCAGAAGAGCAGCCCCTGAAATGCACAGCACACTGTTCTCGGACGGCGCTGCCGCCGAGGAGAGCCCCCTCTCCCTCCAGCCCGTTCTCACAGGCGCTCTCAGGGTCGGGAGTGGAGCAGGGCTGCCGCCCGGCCTGGCTGAGAAACCAGCTGGCAGGGAGGCTTTTCCCCCGAGACTGCGGCCAAAGCCCCCTGGCTCAACGAAGGCGACGGAAACCCGCCTGGGCCTCCTGAACTAGAGGGACCAGCGACAGCGCTGACGAGGTCCGAGCAAGCAGCAGGATCCTTCACCCGCGCCATGAGGATCCCGTTCCCCCCGTCCCATCTCCCCGCTCGGCGCCATCACCCCACCACCGCCCCGCACCCGCCCTGAACTACATTTCCCAGAGGACCTTGCGCTCAAGCGGCCCGCCAGGATGGGCGGTGTTTCCGTTACGATTGGCTCGCTGCGGCTGCCCCCTCCCCGCCGCCCGGCGGCCATTGGGTGAGGCTGTCACGTGGGGCGGGCGGGCGGTGCCGTCCCCTCAGGGGAGCGGGGGCGGTGATGGCGGGCGGCATGGCGCCCGGCAGCCGCGGGCAGCGGGCGCGCTGAGGTTTCGTGCCATGCTGGGGGCTCGGGGCGGGTGGCAGGCTCTCCGCCGCTGCGCCTCCCGGCTTAGGGCGCGGCGGCTGCTGGTCCGGGAGGCGCTGGGGGCCCGGGAGCCGGCTGACGGGGTGCAAGTGCAGGTGTGTGGTTGGGAGGCCGGGCTGCGCCTCCTGGAGCGGTAGCGGGCGGGAGAGGAGCTGGAGCGGCGTGGCGCACGCCGCCCGCACTGACTCTGCTCCGGGGAGAAAAGCTGGAATGTCTGCAGCGCATTTTAGTGAACTTCGAGATCTCCTTTAGAGTCTGTAGAGCCAGCTCTCGCTGCATCTCCTCAGGTTAGAGCAGATAGGAAGCTTTGGAGTTACTCAGGGCACGTGCAGGGAACAGCGGTTACTGTGATGTGTGTATTGAAACACCCTCTGTCCAGCTTTGGTTTTATCATCTGCTTAGCTTAGGCGAGAGAATGTGTATCAGCCTGTGTGCTGAGATTTTTAAATGTTTGCTTTAGGTCTTGTTCCACATCGAGGTTTATAGCACTGTTGGATAGAGCCAGCTCACAGTTTCGTTGGTGTTCGTGTCTGGCTTCTGTTGTGAACCAAGGTAAACTGAGATGAATGAAGTTTTTAGCAGTGGAGCTCTTTCCCTTTTCTCAGCACAGGCTTGTGTGTCCCCCTGTTTTCTGCTGTCCTTGACTGACAGAACAGTGGTTGCAGATGCATAGTTCCAGTTTTAGTGCAAGGCCCCTGGCTAGAACTGAGCAGCTGTTGGTATTTCTGGATGAATATCTAAAGGACTGGGGTGCTTGGTAACAGTTTTCAACTAAACCGAAAGAGGGGAGGTTTAAATTAGATGCAAGGAATAAATTCTTCCCTGTGTGGGTGGTGAGGTGCTGGCCCAGGGTGCCCAGAGCAGCTGTGGCTGCCCCCTCCCTGGAAGGGTTCAAGGCCAGGTTGGACGGGGCTGGGAGCACCCTGGGCTGGGGGAAGGGGGCCCTGCCCGGGGCAGGGGGTGGGACTGGGTGATCTTTAAGGTCCCTTCCAACCCAAACAGTTCTGTGATTCTACTGACCCAAAACCCAGTTTGTGGCACACTGGTATTCCTGCATGCACACAGATGAAGCCTGATAGGGGAGGAAGAGGCTCATCCACTATAGGTGTTTTTCACCTGTAGTTTTCTGAATAATACAAGCTGGAATAAACTGATGCTAAAATCGGCAGTTCCACCTTTTTTTCACCCCAGGTCCTTGCTGCTTTGTTGCTCTTCCCCCATGCGGGCAAAAATGTTTTTTGTATTAAATTCGATTGGGGAACTGGTTTGGCTTAAAATCAACCTTATGGCCAGGTGATTGGAATGTGCAGTCTGGTCAGAGTTGGGATTGTCACTGCGTTGCTTCTGGTAAGGTTGAAGTGGTCAAAACACTGCTGCCACATCCTCTGCTGCTCCAGTACAAGCCTGTGGGTATGCTTTTATTTCCTATTGCAGGATGCAAGACTGATCTCCTTATTTAATAGATCCCAGAACAGCCTGGTGAGGTGGAAAAAAAAAGCTCTTGATAATGTTTCTTTGTTCAGGGGTTTTGTGTGTTTTGTTAAGGAGGGTGTACAAGGAAAGAAACTAAGGAAAACATCTGCTATAATACATTAAGCATTATGCATCAAGTATAATGCATATTATGCGTTCTGGGGATTTACTGGAATACAGAGGATAAGCACAACAGCTTCAGGCATGTTATCATATGAAACACCTGTTGCTTTAGCCATAAGAATATGGGGATGCCCAAATGATCAGACTTTAGTTTTAGACTCTTGTTTCTTGTGTTAGTACTTGCCTCGAGTGGAACACCCTGCAGAGATCATTTAGGTAAATGCCTGTCTGAAATTGTGAGGCTGGAGCAAAAACTGAAGTTTCATTAATCATTAGGTTCATGGCTTTAAAATATTCCATTGCTCGTGTATGCAGTTGTCCTTTCCCTGTTATACAGTCCTGTCTAATGCCTTGTCTGTGTTAGTAGCTGTGTTGTAGTTTTAAGAATGCTTTACTTTTGGTACTGTTTAATTCTTAAAGTTTGTTCAGTCTAAACAACAGAAATAGGTGGATTTGCATTGGTTTGTCTGGTAAAAATCCCTGAAGCACCTGGCGCAGTTTGAAGTCATTGGAACTGCTTGGGCACTTACAGTTAAGCAAAAGACAAAATTGATGGAAAAGAAGCAGTTTGGTTGTTTAATCAGTAGTGTTCTCAGTTGTTCTCCACAGTATTATTGTAAGATGAGCTAGAAGCTTCCCAGCGGATAGTATTTCTTTTAAGGGCGGCTTTATCTCAACTCTTGTGAGCTTGGGAGTAACTGAGGAAGTTGTATTTTGGATGATATTACTTTTGCTTGGTGCCTTGGTACTGACTTAAATTTTAATTTCTTTTTAAAGGAAATGTTATTCTGCATTGAAAAACTCAAATTAAGACATTAGCCTGACATGTGCATGGTCAGTTCTGTTGTTTTGCTCTTACGAAGAACTGCTGTGTTATTGTTTTAATTTTTTTAGTCAAACTGGACAAGAATGCTTCTAGATTTTTTTTCTTAATACTTTTTTTTTTTTTTTTTCCACGGGGACAGTGTAGTAGTTTTGATTTTGAGGTGTAAGGAGAAACATCCAAGGCATTAATTTTTATTTTTGTTTTGCTTGAATATGTAATTTTTCACCTGAATGTGTTGGCTGCAGCATCATTGTTTTAACAGTCTCATGACTAAGGGCATGTAAACAACTAGCAAACAAATTTCAGTTGGAACCTTCTTACAGGTGATACAGCAACAAAAGCTGGTACTAAGAAATCATCAAAACAGTCTTGAGTGTGTTATAAAAAACTGCATTATTTGTCTCTTCTGTTTCAGGAAGAAGTGTTTTGAAGGGATATCACTAATAAGGATATGTACTTTGCTAAAATGCTTTTCATCTTCAGAGTGCTTTGCCACTTTCTGTATTCTCTGCTCCCCAGACATGCAGGTAGATCTTCGTTATCCCTGCTGTACCCAGGAGGAGAGTTGATGTTCCTATCTAAGGATTTGTTTCTCTTTGCTTTGAAGTTGGTAGAAAAACTGACACTGACTACTATTTATTTATTTATTTATTTTATGTTTGTTGCTCCTAAAGAAATATTTCCTTTTATTTCAATAAGAAGTCCAGCTCAGCTGGAAGAAGATCATGACTACACAGAGTCCATGCCAAGAAATAACAACTTTATTTTTTTTTTTTACCTCTAGGGCTGGGTCCGCTCTGTCCGATCGCAGAAGGAGGTTTTGTTCCTGCATATAAACGATGGGAGTTCATTGGAAAACCTCCAGGTGGTTGCTGATCCCAGCCTGGAAAATAGGTTGGTCAGTTTGAGATACCTGGAAAAATATCTGTGGTGACCAGTAGTTGGAGGGGTCTGCTCAGGCCTCCTTTCCTGTTCCAGTGGCTCACCAGCAGCTGGCACCTGACCACAGGAAAGGCACTACTGCAGTCTAGGGTCTCTGGAGATGTTTAAACGATGGAGGGTGTCTGACTACTCTGTCTCTACTTAGCTGAGGCCTTGTGGTTCAGTTGCTTGCCTTGTAATTTAGACCTCATTTTCTTAATAGCTGTAGCAGTCTGGGCATTCTGGGCTATTGTTAGACTTGCCTGGAAATCAAACAACATAGCCAGGGATAACTGTCTCCCAGGTTTTGGAGAGCACTGTTGCTATTCCTATAGTAACTTTAGGGCTGGCTCAGTTGGCATACCCCCTAGATAGGCATGCCTAGTCTATTATAATAAAATAATACACTTGTTTTACAGCTTCATTTTGTTACTCTCAAACAAAAGTTTTGTTTGTTCTTTGGGCTAGGGTTGGGAGTTTCAGGATGATCCATGAACCTTCTGCATGTAACCTGATTTTAAAAAAAACCTTTTTTTAATTTTTTTTTTTTTTATAGGCCTGATTTGTCCCCACCAAGAGCCCCTTCTAATAAAAACATGTCTCTTTCCCCCTTACTTGTCCAACATTCCTACCTTGTCCTAAATTACTCTGTAGCTTTGTGGATCTATTCATATTCCCACTTACACATTTAATTTTTCATTTCATCAATTAAGCCCTATGGCTACAGTATCTCTTGTGATCTCAGGTGGTCCATCTAAATTAACAGGACTCTCTCTTCTGTATGTAGTTGACTTTGTATCAGCTCCTAGTTAAGCTCTTGTTTTATCTTGGTTCCTTAGAGACCTGACTTTTGGAAGTGCAGTGGAAGTGCAAGGGAAGCTGATCAAAAGTCCTCACAGGATGCAAAACATGGAGTTGAAAGCTGAAACCATCCGTGTGGTGGGACCTTGTAATACTTGGGTATGTCACTGCAGCAGTAGTCTAACTGATAGGACTGCTTTGGAAATTAATTTCCAAAGGTCCAAGTATCCAGCAAAGCATGCTTCAAACTGTATTTTCTTTAAGTCTGAGTGGTCCTGCAGGCTTTGATTTGTCAGTGGTGTCTATAGGGTATGTCAGAGGAGAAATGTGGGATCACCATGGAAGCTCTCTTCTGGGGCAGAGCTGTTTCTGTGTGGAAACTGGCACACATGCTGGCAGCTAAGAGTGTGCATTTGTCCCACCCTGAAGCACTTACCTGTGGTGGGTGGTTTACCTGGTAAGTCTGGCTGGGATATGAATTGGAGAAGCCGTGGGACTGACAAAACACTCTAGATTGTGTGGGTGGAAGAACCGTTTCTGCCACAGGCACATTTGGAACCGCCTTGCTGTTGCAGCAGTGGGATGAACAGCTGGCTTTCAAGGGGGCTCAACACCCAAAAGGTGGAGCGTTTCAGAGCGCTACTACCTCCTCTTGTGTTCATGGCTCTTGCTCTGCCATAGACATAATAAAATCCACAAAATAACTAGAAAAAATAGGCAAAAGCAACTAGTTCTCTGGTCTGTAAATGACAATGTGAGTTCTAGTAGGCAGAGGTGGTATTCCATGGATAGTCATAAAACTACACTGACTCCAAGTTCTCATCCTCTTATTTTTCTTTCCTTGTTTTTAGTCATTTCCTCTGAAAATGAAGGAGAGGCACCCACTGGAGTATGTCCGGCAGTTCCCTCACCTGCGATGCAGAAACAACACACTTGGTTCCCTTTTGAGAATCCGCAGTGAAGCTACTGCAGCCATCCACTCCTTCTTCCAGGTAGTCCCTTCTGTACCGAGCTTTATGTGTAGGTCACTCCCCCAGTTTGGCTTCACAGGAGCATGTTAGGAGGGAGGGAGCCGGATGTCTTGACTGCAGGGTATGAATTTTGGACACAGTGGTTTTCTTTCCAGGCCTGGGCCTGGCTGAGGCCTTGGCCAGGCTGTTGCTTATGATCAAGTTAGCACATCTGTGGTCGTGTTAGTGTTTTTCCACCCGTTTCCTGTTAGTTAATTTATCCCTTGCACTAAGTTGCAATATAATGGACTGCAAGTGTGTGTGGTCTGTGGAACACAACATACTATGGAGTTGTTTAACCCACCCTCAGCAGTGACCTTACAGTCCTTGGACGGGAGCCTCCTCCCACATGGAAAAATCTGTGATGCAGGAAGGCTATCGACAAACTGACTCAGAGCTTCATGTTACTTTTCTTGGTTCTTGCCTTTCTATTACTGCCTTCTGTGTGGATGCTGTTAGCTGAGATTAGGAGACTCCTGTTTTGATGCATTTCAAGCTGATGAGTGGCAGACACCTACATTTTATGAATGTGTCGCTCTTAAGCTGGGGGCATGGCACAGGCTTTGTGCAGGCGGTGGGGGCAGTGAATTAACTCTGATTCCAGGGTCTGTATAGAGACCGTGCCATTCTTTGCTTGAGTAGATAAAGAAAGGTAGCAAGTCCTCTAGCGCACCTGAGCCCTTTCTTTTAAAGCTGTTCACTGAAATAAAAATGTTTTAGTTTAGATAAACTGGCTTTATCTTGAGTAGAATCATATTCAGAGCATTCTGATTACAAAATTTACATACAGTAATTAGTATGACCCAAAGAACAGGTCAGAATTGTTGAGATTGAATTTCTGGTCCCGGATATGCTGGTATTTGTCACCTGCAGTGACAAAGAAGGCTTGCTTGCTCTAGCAGTTATTTGTATGGAATGATATTTAGAAGAAATATTTATTTTATTTTAAGAACCTAATATAAATACCGTGTCTGGTAAAGCTGCTGGTGGTGTCAGCAGTGTGCCAAGTTGTAAGGCAAAACCCAGCTCTGTTGGGAATCAGTCTCTTCTGGTGTCCAGCCACTAGATGGCATTGCCGACAACAGTTTGTGATTTCAAATATGGACGAGGAAACCAACTGAGATACCAAAAAGCATTTTATTCTGACAAAGGCTTTACTTCTCCAAATTAATTCCAGCTCAGACTCTGACATACCTTCCAGTTAAAAATACTCAAGAGCGGAGCAATATTTAAAAATATAATGTATCATTAATTTAACAGCAGCAGCTACACTAAGTTTATTTTTAAAGGGATAAGGAAAATTTGGTCCCAGACCTGATATTTGTGAATGCTTATGTCACAACTCTCCTAGCATCAGGAATGTCTGTGGTTTGCTCCATTCCTAATGGAAGGAAAACTGTCTTTTTAAATTGCCACCTACATCATCCCAAGGATGTTGTAATTTCTGACTTGACAATATCAGAACCCACCATGACTAGAAAGTGTAATCGGAGTGTTTTCACTGTACAAAGCTGTAAACAACGTAATGGTGAAAGAAAACAAGTGGGGTTTTTTGAATAGACACTTGAAATTATCTAGGCTCTCTGTAATTTAAAAACTTTTTTTTTTTTTTAGCCTATTAATTTTCAGCAGTGAATGACTAATAGCAAGTGCCTTTTGTGTGGATGTTGAAGGCTAAAATGTCATCTTTAAATATTCTCTTGAGTACTGTGGTCCATGTGGGATAGGAACACTGTTCCTAGGCACAGTAAAGTAGTTGCTGTGTGAATGGCAACCTCCATTTTTCCCAGTAACTAACTTCCAGGTTTGTTGGAGCCACTAATGTGACCTGAAGTACTTTAGGGACTTTTATAAGGGGAAATACCCAAGAGATTTTGATCTTTCAGACCTGTGCAATTAATCTTCCTTTCCAAAGCATGTAAGAGGTCTTCTGTGTGAAATGTGTATCTTTACAGCAACTGCTACCACTGTATGAGGAATTCAGGCAGTTTTCCAAAAATCTCATGTAGGTTTGGGAGGCCACATGACCAGCAGGTCTCTGGAGTATGCATGAGATTGCAGCAGAGATCTGCATTTTATATTGGTGGGCTGAAACTACCCTCCCCAGGCAAAGCAAATAATTCTGGTTCTAAATCTTCTTTCTGTGGACTAACTGGATCTTGGTGCACTCAGCAAGCCAAGGCCTTTGCACCTGTAACCAAGGTAGCCTACAGCTGACTGCAGGGACTTTGCTCCCTTTTGGTCATGTTAGGGTACTTCCACAAAATGCATTGCATGTCCATACAAACTCTTTCATCCAAACTAATTTTAGTTTGATTCTTAGGATGGGCAGTACATACTGCTCATGTATTCCTAGCCTTTTAAGTAGTTGGTGATAAGGACCAGGACCTGTCACGTGAGTGGTCTATAATGGTATTATTCTGGCAGAAGCTGTGAAACTAAGCTTTTAGAAACGTTTGGCTTTTTTTTTTTTTTTTAATTTGTGTTCTGTGTGAGTAGACAATGGGCTATGCTGTGTCATTGCCTGCATCATGGTAATGCTGGCACACCCTGATTTTAAAGGGTTTCCCTTTGTGCTAGACATTAAGTGATGCAAGAGAAAACAAATCCTTTGTTCTCACCTGAAATCACCTAATTCTAGGTTCTTGTTTGCCTTGTCATGCAAAGGTATGATTGCTGTGCTTCACCAGTGGTCTCAGTAGAGAGACAAATTAGAAAGGTGCTGTTAGTTCTGTTTTGCCTCTAACATGCTGCATGTGATTGTCTGAGGTCTGCTTGATATACCCATCCACTGAAAATTGTGTTACAGCTTGTTTAAAAGCCTACAGCTGCATTGCAGAGAAGTCCAGAGAATAGGGGCTCTTTCTTCATACAGCTGTCCTGGTTTTCGAGGCCTCTGCTGGATCTATGAACTATTAAATGAATGGGTAATCCTCCGGGTCCCTAGAACATGACCAAGCCAGGGTATACCCTGTCTCTTAAAATCAGTTTGACTTCAATATCGCAGAATATGCAAGGTGGGACAGATATTTTTGTGGTGGTAGAGTGTTTTTCAGGCCCCTCTCTCATGCAGTGTGTGATTTCTGTCATCTAAAACACTTGATCATTTCTCTTAGTGGAGAACACTAAGAGAGTGTCCTCTGCCTAACCACCATTTTCCAAAGCTGGAAGAAACTGAAGTGTTGAGGCTGTAGGGGTAGATTTGATTGAAACTGCACAAAAATATAGAAATACTGGAGGAGGTGAGAAGGGGGAATGGTGTGGAAATGGGCAGTTGCAAAAACCCATAGTAGTGGCATAAATCTAATTTCTTTATGAAACATGGAGGAAAAAGCACAAGTAGTAATTATTGATTTGTAAATTGTGTTAGCATTTAGTTAGTCCTCTGTCTTTGTCCATGTAAGGCAGAAGTTGCCTAAAAGAGTCTGTATGCTGTCCTGGTTGGGGGCTAATAGCTGAGTTATGATGTGTGCTGGTTGATGTCATTCTTGAAGTTGACATTTGATATCTTTAGCTAGTTAACTTTAGTGTTCTGTCTGTTCCAGGATAATGGCTACATACATATTCATACCCCCATAATTACATCAAATGACTGTGAAGGTGCTGGGGAGCTCTTTCAAATTGAGGTAAGTTGAGTTTCATAAAGTTTGTTTTGTTTTTTTGCTTGCAGAGCAGTTCTGGACACATTGAAGGTTAGAGGAAATGTTTGTCTTTACAAAACCTTTCCTTTATGTACTTCTGTGATTATTTTTTTAATATAGCAGTCCTTTGCTTCAACTAATAATTTAGACAGAGTTAAGCAGATGCATTACTTCTTTTTTTTTTAATTGCTGTTTTGTGTGCTAATCACCATCTTTTGTACTGATGAGGTTTTTCTATCCCTGGTGCTGTGGAAAAGTTTATAAAGAACAACAGAAGGAGATGGAACATCTTACTAAATGGAAAGATGTGATCATAAGAGTCCAAAAGATAGGATGCAACATAGGACAGCCTACTTGATGCAAATATTTCATAGCTTTGAAGCAAAAAATACAATTCAGCATGAGAGAACTCCTTAAAAGAAAGTCGGCGATACCTAAGACTCCTTTTCATCAGTGTAGATATTCCTCCCTATGAACTAGTCCTGTTGTATGTCAGAACTCTCCCCTGATATTACCAAGTCTCTCCATCCATCCACCAAATTACTGCCACAATCTATCATTATATGAAGTACTCCACGGCTTGGGTCAAAACCTCCTATGACAGTTAAATACAGCTATAACCACTAAGATCTTCCCCACAGATTTCTCGTGATTCCTAACCCCCATATCCGTGAATCACAAGAAGTTCCATCTGCCTGTTATACTTGTATATTTGAAATTCACTCTTCTGTCTCCAACAATTACATCCATTGCCACTTACGATTATTGGCTCTAGCCTTACTGGTGAATCATCTGTAAGCAAAAGAAAAATTGTTGAGGTAGCAGTTGCTTGCTGCGGAATTGTGTCTTCCACTCTGCACAGCCTCATGTCAAAAAGCCTCCTTGTACTGGTTCTTCAGGATCTCGGGGTCTAACCTGTGCTACTAGTGATTCCCGTCCAGTCCATGTAGCTCAGCTTTTTCCTTGCTGGGACAATAGAACTGATTAGCTAAACTAAATTGTTCCTGTTTAATTGAGATCCCTTAATGCTACCAAAGGTTCGTTCCAGGCTGTTGCATGCAAATTAAGATGTGAAAACAAGTGACACTTAATGATGAGAACATTATACAGTTTGCAGCTGTACAGTGTATTACGTCTTTGGTACAAATTGTATCCACTTGAAAGCTGTGGAGGATGCAGGACTGCGGCGTAGGTGGATGGTAGTAACAGAAGCACTGATGCAAATGTTGATTGAGGTACTGAATTGTGAGTCTGAAACTTGTATAAACTGGATCGTAACTAAATACATAGTTCAAGACAAATCTCTTACTCTCTCTCCAGTGTGATTGCTTAGGTGTAAATAATACCTGTCTTGGAGAAATGTAATGTCAGCTGTGCTTGAAAAGGGTGGAGTAAGTGCTGAGTCCCGATCCTATTAAATGGCCTGTGCCACAGAGAAAGGGCTTCAGAAACCCACTTGCTGCTGGGAAGTGGGAAGTTCTCTCTGATTTCCTGTTTCTTCATTGTCTGGCCTAATTTAGGACTTGAGTTTGTTTCTGCAAGAGTCTGTTCAGAATTGGTCTTGGCTAGCAGAGATCCAAGACCACTTGCCATCCTTCTGTGACCACTTCATTCCACTCCACTGGAGCAGTGACACTGTTTCTTGACAGTGGAAATCTGGAGATTAAGCCTATCTTGGGCCATGCATGTGAGGCTGTCAGACATAAAGATAAGGGTGACAGAAGGGTATCAGGCATAAAAATAAGGGTGTGATGTTTGCAGCAAAGCTCAGAATATCTATATGCTTTCAATCTAACCAACCATCAAGACACTGCTGTATTCAGTCACTTTTTAAACTAGTCCTTAATTTAGTGCTTGTACAGGCCAAGGGAGAAAAAAACTTCCTGTTCCTCTTATATTTGAGCAGTAGCCAGGAATTATGGTTATGGCAGTCAGTGAAAGCAACCTGCAAATTAGATTCTTCAATTTAAAATATGTTTAAATCCTGTACTTAAAGTTTTAAGGCATATCCTTCAGTTGCAACCAGAACATAAATTGGTGTCATATTGCTCCTGAATTTATAGTAGTTACAACATGCCTGCTGCTTACATGTTGGCTTTTCTGCCCTTTTTTTTTTTTTTTTTTTCAACTCCCTTGGGCAGTGTATAAAACTGATAATCTCACCAGTTCAGCTGTCCTGCTGTGGGTGGAATGAATTGAAAACTTTGGTTGAGTAGCCCTTAGGACCCAAGTAAAGGCTGCTTTTGCACCCACTGTGAAACGTTGCCTTTTAATAACTGTCTTCTCCTGACTGGCACAATTTTAATTATCTGACTAATGTCTGATGGCTCTTCAGGCCTGTGCATTCTTTAGAAATGGTGGAAAGTGAAGACAATAGGAATCTGTTTTTACATGAGACTTGAGGAAATGGGGGGAAAAAAGGGTATCTTGAGTTAAAAGGAAGAGACTTTTTGAAGGCATGTGTTCTTTGATTCCTAGACATCTTAATCCTGTAGGATTTGTGTTTGTTTATATGTTCAGCTTCCCAATTATCTTTGTTTGGTTTTGGGCATACTGATTAGTCTGTGCTTTAGCTGCAATATTCTCATACTAGGATTTGGGATCACGGAGAATCCCTTCCCTCTCTGCTGGGCAAATCAGTTCAGCTAAATGTTTTTAAAATTAAGTACCATAACAGTGAAAAGAGGGTAGTAAGCAGAAGAGATTTTTAAAATATTGTAAAATTAAAAAAAAAAAAAATCACAAGGTGGTAAAAACTCCAGAGAGATCTTTTTCAGTTGAGACTTTCTACACCTGAAAAGTGTAGGTTTGAGAAGTTTGAGGAGAAACTGCCAGAAGTATAGAAAGAGCCAGGCAGACACTAATACACATGGAGACCATCCGCACCACCAACTTGTGGAGTTCTGCACCTCTGACAGTGTCTGCCTTTGGTGGTACTCTGGAGTGGGGAAGAGTCTTGCTTGTGCTGCCTTCTTTCAAGTAAATTTACTGAAAACACCAAGAGAGCTTTGAATATAGAAAGCTGAGTTTTAGTAGAATGCAAAGCAGGATGAAAGTAATTCTTGAAATAGGGAGAACACAGATCAGTAGGGTGAGATGGCCCTTTTAATTTAATCTGAGAATAGTTCTTCTGTACCAGCAGTTTTAGAACCTCAGGGCAGATCCTTTCCTCTCTTTCTTTCTTCTGAAGTCTAAAATTCTTAGCAGCTTTGTGTGTTGCAAGGAACTTTACCCAGTCCCCTTCCTAGGAAATCTGCGTTTCTTTTGTCTTTGTGACCCGGCTGCATGTCTCTTCCCTGCTATTTTCAGCAGCCTCCCACTCTGCCTGCAGTGTTGAAGGCTCTCTGCTTTCTGGGTCTTTTGCTCTGTTTTTTCCACTTTGCTCCCTGTAAAGTTTACTTGTTTGGCTGCCCTCAGCTGCTGTGAGAAGGTGGAGGCTCCTCTGCTCTCTGGAAGAGCCTTTCTGGTCCAGGACACTCCAGCTCATATCATGGGGCCCTGGACAACCACTTTTCCTGCTGCCCAGCTGCAGCCTTTTAAAAGAACTCAGCATGCAATGAGTTAACAAAGCACAACAGCTGTATTGGCATTCACAGCTCTTTAAAGTAGATCTGCTTGTGTTTTGTATTGCCTGTGGCCTTATTCCTTGCTGGGGACCTTGCTCCAGGCAAGGGGTGCTGCACTCTATCTGTTGGCTCCAGTGGAGGTAACATGCCCTGTATCAGGCTTGTCTCTTCCCGCACACATACCTTATTGCATCTGGGTGGTGTTTGACTGAACCCAGGATCTGGATCAGGTTATTTCATTATTTGAAAGGATACTTAACTGTGAACCTGAAGAACCATCCAGGTATTGCTCTCTAAAACATATCCAGAGATTGTATGGTGTTTGGCTTTTGGATGTTTGGGGGTTTTTGCCACCCACTCACAGGAGCGAATGCAGAAATTTCTAGATCCCTGAAGGGTGCAAATTCATGGCTGTACCTAGTGTGGCACCAGAAATATATGCCTGCTGCTGAAGGTTCAGAAATTTACTCCTGCCATTCCTTTGGTAATGCTGAAAAATAGCCTGTCAGCACCAAGGAAGGCTGGGATCTGCTGGGGAGAATCAGAGTTGTTAAATGCAACAGTATTCTGTCTGTCAGGTGTTTTTCCTTTAGAGATGCCTGGCAGTCGGGGAGGCAGCTGATCCCAGGGAGACTGAGACTTCAGAGAGGTGCTCAGCAGGGATCAGGGTAAGCTGGAACTGAGCTGAGGGAAGGCTTGCTCTTCCATTTTCTAGCTTTCACAGCTAGATTCTTCAAGGTTCATCTCTGCCTGTAGTTGCAGTCCATGTTTATGAGCTGTTTGTCTCAGCAGAACTAGCTGCTATTGCCCAATGCAAGTCCAGCTAAACAGAATTAGGACTGGAATTGCAAGGAGGACTTCTGGGAAGTTACGAGTTTTGCAGTCGTTGTCTAAAAAGGAAAACCCAGTCATGTTTATAATCGGACATCACAGAGAGCAGGTCCAGATTAAAGCTGTGGTGCTATGAAGCTTCAGCAGCATGGTGGTGTGGGCCTGGGCTAGAAGCTACATCAGTGATTTCTATAAGCTTTCTAAGTCTTCTCTGATCCCTTCATGCATTTGGCTTGCATAGAGTGAAAGACAGAATCAAACGGTTTATACTTTCCCGAAGCTAATTGCCTCAAGTAAAAGGTAATACAAGACTGACATCAAAGGGAATAATGTTAAATTAAATCATTAGACATTTGAGGAGATGGAGAACAAAACAGGTACTAAATCCAGTTGTTCTCGTATTTGGAATGAGAATTAAAAGTCTTTGATGTTAATGTCGAATCCTGGTATGTTTTTAGCACATTTACTCTGAGACTTCAAGATGTTTCTTACACACTCCCTCTTCTTCTTTCCCCATTGTAAGTTGTGTAGTTTTCAACTAGGGAATGGAGAGAACTTGAAAGCAAACAAATTATTCCCCCCTAATCCTTTATCAAGTAGGTATTTTGGGGTTGGGAAGTGGGAGAAAAGTCCATGTAATTGAAATAAAAGCATCACAATGTTGTCACTTCATTTTACTAGTCATGGACATGATAAACAATCTCTCTGTGTCATCACCTACGGCTTGTTGTTTGTCTTCTACCAGTGGCTGTGGTTGGTTGTTATAAAGAAGCAAGCTTGATCTAAAAGGCTAAGCATAAATATGGAGCACAGGCACTTCAATACATTGGCCTGAATGTGTAAAGTGGAGGAACCACCTCTAGGGGGTTAGTCAATATTTTTACATGTGAAATGTAAAGTTGCTAATTATGGGATACCTCCTTGCTGAAGAGGTCCCTTCTAAAGGAAAAGGGAGGCATTTCATTTTCCTTGTGTAGCAAGTGGATTGATTTTTTGCAGCTCACGACACCCATTCGTCAAGCTTTGTGTCTCAAAATGAGGGAGAGGAGGTGGGCAGCTCTGGAGAGGCAAGGCAATCTGATGGTGATGGGGGGAGTAAAATTTTATCTTAATATTGCTATGTTCACTCTTCACCTTCTGTTGTATGCCATGCAGGAGGTGTTCACAATGCACACACACATCTCAGGGTCTCTTGGTGGCCTCTCAAACTGGCTGCAGGTTTTTATAAGTCCAGTTGAACTGCAGACTTTCTCATACTCTTCTTCCAGTCACTTACTGTTGTGTCTGTTTTCCCTTTGCCTCCCTGATATTTCATTTGGAGAATGAAAAAATACATAAAGTCATTATAAATGGAACAGGCCCCAGATCCTGAGACAGCTGTATCCTGTTTGTGGATTTGGGGGGAAGTGTTGAGATTTCATGGCTGATTTCTTCTGTTCTTTTCCTGCTTCCAGTTTGTCTCTTTCTCGTTGTTTAGAAGTTGCATCCTACAGGATTAGGTGGGATTTTTCACTGGTAGAACAATGAATATATCTGAACTAAGATTGCAGTAGGAGAAACTGGAGTGGTACGTGGCTCTTTAGTGTTCTGGTCATGGCTCTGGGGCTGTGGTATGTGGATGTTTGTATGTTTATTAATATCCTTATTGTTTTTGAGCAAATACTCTGGGTTTATTTGAAGAAAACAATAGAGGCCTGCTTCTGCATCCTTGAGTTTTGTTGTTTGGTTTTCTTAGAACTGCAAAACCTATGAAACATAGGAAGCAGTCCTGGGGTTACAGCCACAAACTGTCATATTTTCATTGATCTCTGGAGCAAGGCAAGCTTACTCTTAAGTGTGATGCTGTGAAGAGATAAAACTGCCTTGTGATCTGAGGTCTTTGGCAGTCTCCGTTTTATCTTTCAATGAGCAGCAGAGCTTTTTGAGAACAAAAGCAACACCTTCCAACTCATTGAGAAAAATGGCAGGTTGTAGAATATCAAAGGCTGGCAAACAAGCCTGAGCCTATCAACCTCCCTGTGACAAAGTAAGTTGGGAAGTAGGGTGGCTGGAGTGAGTGGCGTACTTAGCTGAGCTAGCTACACTTAGCATAATTCCTAGGAACTACACTTTTCAAAGTGGGTATTTCAAACTTGTCTTAGAAGAAAGTATTTGTTTGGAAGTGGATGTAGATCAACCAAACCTCAGATTAGCTTCAAAGTTTCTTTCTGTCTTTCTCCTGAACCTTTGATTGCTCTAAAGCATAGGGATGACATTGAAATATAGAAAATGCTGAAACAGAAATCTCATTTACCTTCAAGTTTAAGTCACACAATTGTGACCTCTAGAGATCATTTAATCTATCCCAGAACACTCAAACAGTGTCAGCTAGGGCAAGGTGCCCAGGACTCTGTTCTGCTGAGTTTTGAAGTCCAAGTGGAGACTTCACAGCCTCTCTGGGCAACCTGTTGTAGTGTTTGACCACTCTCACAGTAAAGAAAAATGTTTATTCTTGTTTTCAGATTAAATTTCCTGTGCCTTTTTAAAATTCTGTGCCCGTTGCCCATTGTCCTCTCAGTGAGCACAGCTGAGATGAGTCTGGTTCCTTCTTCATTCCCTTCTGTCAAGTATACTGTCCTGGGTTTGACAACATATACACAAGGAAAAGATCCCCCTGAGCCTTCTCTTCTCCACTCTGAACAGTCCCAGCTTTCTCAGCCTCTCCTCATAAGGAAGATGTTCCGGTCCCTTCGTCATCTTTACAGACCTTTGCTGGACTCATTCCAGTATGTCCATGTCTCTTGTCCGGGGGAAGCGAGCCCTTTACCCAGTGGTCTTGGTGAGTCACCAGTGCTGTGCAATGGGGAGGGATCCCCTCCCTTGAGCTGCTGGCAGTGCTCTGCCTAACACAGCCCAGGTGGCCGGTGACTTTCTGTGCCATGAGGGCTCTTTGCTGTCGTATGGTCAGCTTGGTGTCTGCCAGGGAAATGGTGAAGCATGGTCCTTATGCTCAAGTGACTTTTAAAGTGCTTGACACAGAGGTTTTCTAATTATTTTTTTTTGTGCCTGTAAATTAAAACATGAATGTACCATCACTTTAATGGGACAGTTTTTTTAGAATGTTTTTCATAATGAAACACTGAACTTGCTACTTGCTAAATTTTCCATTACTCATAGTGTTTTATGCTTAAAATACCCGGTGACCTGAAAAAATATGCAAAAGCTGAAATAAAACGTAGTTTGTATTTCTATGCCTGTATAATGTGTAAGCTGTGATGTTTCCAGCTCCATATTGTTTCAGTTCTGCTTTTTTGAAGGCTGAATAACAAGTCTTAAGAGGATATTGCATTCCTTTTTTTTTTTTTTTTTTAATTTCTGATTACTGTTTGTCTTTTTGCGATGGAAGCAAATTCATTTACCCATGAAAAGGAAGTAACACTGGTTTTAAAAGTCTTTGCTGAAAGCCAGTGCACCTGACATGGAAAATACTCCATTTTCTCAGCAGACTTGGAACTGAATTTTGAAGGCAATGCTGTGTGAAGCTTCAAAATTCCAAATGATAGAGGTTCTTCCCTTCCCCCTCACTATTCATCTTGGTAGGGAAGGCTGAAAATCAATATTTATATTTGGAGACTGTGTTGATTAGGCTGGCATCTTTCTTTTATATGTTGCTGGAAAAAATGTTTTTCAACAGATGTTCCAGAGGGATTTTAATTTTGTATGTCTGCATTTCCCGGAAGTGTGGGATGTGGCTTCTCTACCTGCTCCTGAACTCCTAGGTAGATAGAGCCCTTAGCTTTATACGTTGCTTTATTGGGGAGCCAAAAATCAGAGGCTACTCTATAAAAATCTGTATTTCTACCACTCTTGTTCTCAGACTTGCTTGTAAAATGGTATGTCCTTCCTGACATTTTATTTTATATCTTGTTACCTCCTTCCTTTCTACAATGTCATTCCTAACTCAGCTCATCCATGTTTAAAGACATAAGTTACACAGTTCCTTTATTAGAGTAAAATTTAGAGCTCCTGACATACCCACATAGAAAGACGAGAAATGAAGAGCCGCATATTCTTTTAGCTTTGTATGGACTTTGTGCTGCCCACAAAGTTTTGGACAGGCAGTCAAACTGCATGAAGCTGTGTCATCTTAACAAGTTACTTCTCGCTCAGCTGAACTGATACATAACTAATTGCTGAGGATCCAATTTACAATCCCTGTTAGTTTGGGAAATGTATGAAAGAACTGAGTATCCTTCCTCTGTGCTGACATGTCCAAGCTTTGCTGGTGACACTGAGCATATGTGCCACAGTTCACAAACTTGTTATGCAAGTTGTTGGGATACCTACAACCCATATCCTCGTAAGTCACTGATAGTGAAGGTGGGAGCTGTGGTGTTTCCCACTTAAAGTATGGCTTTTCACTACACAGACACATCATTTGCATAGGACACCTAGAAATGGAAGTCCCCCAGAATGCTTTATCTTGTGGGTTTTTTTCATAATGTGTTTTGCTTGGATAGGTTTTGAAGGCTGTCAGCAGTCTGAGCAAAGATGAGGAGCATTGTATTATGACGTACCGCACTGTTGGAGTCCATCTCAGCAGTGTTTCTTAACAGAAGAAAAGGGAGAATAAGCTGGGAGCTGTGCTTTTTATTCAAACAGCGATAGTCTGACTTCTTGTTCATTTTTTGACTTACAGATGTCAAATGAGGCAAGGGAATCTGTGGAAAAGACCCATTTCTTCAACGTACCTGCCTTCCTGACAGTTTCTGGCCAGCTCCATTTGGAAGTGATGGCGGGGTGAGCAAAAAGGTTTTTTGCTTGATGTGTGGGATCTTCTCGGTTGGTGAATTTGCCCAGTTGTTATCCATTAGATATCTGCCACATGTGTGCCAGAAACAAATTGAGCAGCAGTGGCAGGATGATGGTGTGAGAGGCCAGCCTATGCCGGGGAAAATTAGGCTGCTTTTCAATTCTGGTCTGTGAACTAGTTTTAAATACTACTTCTCCTTCTGTTTGCCATGGATTGGGAATATTGGATGGAGACTTAATCTTTATGGAAATGACTGTAGTATTGTTGCTAATAACTAATACCTTAAGTGTCTTTTTGTTGTTGTTCACATCTGGCATGTCTCAGCAAGAAAATCTGTTTCATTTTAGCTATCACATTCCTTTCCTCTTCTCTCCTTTTTTCCCAAGCTTTCTTCTTCTGTCTCCTTCAGTCTTCCTGTCGTGTTTCTCCCTTCTGCCAATTCTCATATTTCCTGTTTCATGGCTTTTCACACTTGATGCTTTATCATAGAATGGGTTGGAAGGAACCTTTAAAGGTGATCTAGTCCAACCTCCCTGCAGAGAGCAGGGACATCCTCAACCAGATCAGGTTGCTCAGAGCCCCATCCAACCTGGCCTTGGATGTTTCCAGGGATGGGGCATCTATCATCTCTCTGGGCAACTTGTGCCAGTGTCTCACCACCCTCATCGTAAAAAATTTCTTCCTTAAATCTCGTCTTTGCTCATTCTAGCCACTAAAGTGATCACAGTCAAATAGTTAAAACTGGATTTGATTTTTTTAAAAAAAAATATCCTTAAGACTTTAATGTTAATATTTAACTGGGATTGTTAGGAGTGTAAGTATCTGTCTGTCAGAGAGACAGTTCCCTTTGATTAGGGGGTTTGGTCCTCAGCTGCACTGGATTTTCCCAATAAATTAACTAAATTAGTATATTAAACAGATGGAGTCAAGTCAGCACAATCCCTTATTTGAAGGCACAGTTTTTTGATTGCTTGCAATGTGGGTTCTCCTCAGACATGGTACTTCAGCCAAATCACTGCTTGCCAGCTGAATGGCTGATGAAGCCTGTCAGAGAGCAGGTCTCAGCCAGGTAGCACTGTAGTTGTTTGCCACTTGCTAAAGTGGTTCATCATGCACTTACAGTGACTTTAAAATCACCTCTAAAGTGATTAGTTACTGTCCAGTGGAAGTCTCCTGAAGACAAGAGGGATAAAGTCCTAGCTTTAGAAAATTTGAACTTGGAAGATCTACCTTTTCACATAGAGGTTCTGACGAGTATTTCTGATAGTATTTGCTGTCCATGCCTTGTATCCAGTCTTGAGAACCAGTGTTTCTTATTTAATCACTGTTGCATAGTTTAATTGGCTGCTGGTAAATAGCTGCAGTGAAATTGTTCAAAGGGCAAGTTTTGCATATAAATAATAAAGATATAAATTTCTTCAAGAAAGCTGTTTTCTGCCTGGCTTGTTCTGAGAGACACTGTCTCTCCTCATACCACCTAGATGGCAGTGGTCTGCTGAAGCACTTGAGCTAAAGATTCTTGATGGACACAGTGCTTCTGGTGTGGTGCCCTGGCTGCTGTGACTGAAGCACAGGTCACTTGGCAGCCAAAAGCTGATGCGTCATCTCAGACATTAGCTGAGGAAAGCTAATGAGGAAGAGCATTTTTTTAACTCTAGGGGTGGTAGAGTTTTTGCATCCCTGAAAGAAGATGGGATGACATGCATTTGTACGTGTTAGACTTAATTGACTGTCATGTGTAATGACCTTTATTGAAAGACGTAATTCCACAAATCAAATAAGTCTGAAGAAAAGGTATGGATTGTAATGATTAACTTGAAATACAATCTCACTCTCTTACATCAGTCTTTCCCTTTAAATAGTACACAGCCTGCTCTGGGATGAAGCAGAAGGCTAAACTGGGCAGATGCAAGACCCGTCTGCTAAATATTTTTTCCATTGATATCACTCAGGTGTACCTTGCTCTCTGAGGATGGGTAAAAAAATCAATGCTCTTCAGCGTGCAGTACATATTACAGCTTCATGTTCCTATTTAACAGTAGCATGTTGTTCTTGTAGGCATTTTAAATGGATCCAGTGCCACCTAAATTTAGTTAAGCTGTGTTTATTCATAATGGTACGTAGATGTTCTGTGAACCTGCTCCTTTTTATTTAAGCACACTGAGTTTTTGAGGACTACAGCTCAAGTGGTATTGAATCCCTTCAGCTTTCAAAAACAGATCATGCTCTTCTAGATACAGAAACACTATACTGATGCATCACAGCATTAACCCTCTAGATACTGTGAAACCCTTTAGATACCATGAAGGTTTTATCTGTGTTTATCAAGTTGGGTCTTAGTCTGTGAATGGGACTCCTACATGATCTTTGCATAATAGTAACCAGAGCTGCTTGGCAAATAAGTGTATTGTGATGATGCTTTCAGAGTTGTAAGAAGTGGGAGTCCTCCTCCTCCTAAAACAGGAATATTCTGATCTTCCCAGTAAACAAAGCAGCCAAAACAGTAAAGATTTATGTGTTTTGGATTTGATCCTGTGAAATTTACCCTTTGTTTTAGACAGACTAAATTTTTCATGCCCAGAAAAGGAATTGTTCTTCAAAAATTCCCTTCAGCTTAAATAAAATGTTGACTTGCTTCAGTCATAAGGCTTTCAGGGACAACTGGTCCCTGAGGATTTGTGGGAGGAGACAAAGGCAGAAATGCTGGGGAGACCCTTCCCCATCCAGTCTTGGCCTGTATCCTATTGTGACTTGCTGTGGGATGGACAAGTGCAGAGACAGATCCTGCAGAAGTCCCTTAGAAACCAGGGGTGGAATGGGACAGGTATGAGAGGCAGGGAGGAGTTCATCTGTGGGGTTTATGTAGTAGGGAACAGAAAGTCAGCTAGATAGTCATGTCTGTTTGGAGTTATCTTTTAGCTTTACAGAGCTCATGAGCAACCTCCAAGCTGTGATTGGAAAAGTCAGGGCAGGGGAGGTACGGGAAAGACTTAGCAGAAGTGTCTGGAACCAAGTCTTCTGCTGTCCTTGCTGAGAGTTCATCTGCAGCCCACAGGGTATCAACTGAGTACTCATTCCTTCATGTTGTCCAGGGCTCAGGGCTCCATTTTATGTCAGGGCTGCTTGGTGCTATTCCTGATAAGAAAAGAGAACAGTGAGCCATTTATAATTTGTGAGTTTTTAACTGCTTCCTATGAGGAGAACTGGGGAGAGAGGTGTTTCTGCATTTATTGACTGTCTGCTGTGCTGTGTATGCTTGTTATTGAAGGCAAGGTCGGAGAAGTTCATCTTGTCTCTCAGTATGACACGAACGGCCTAGTTGGCACAACTTCTCAGTTTGTTGTACTTCATCTTTGCAGTGACGGCATCTAAGTTGACTGCTCAGGGTGTCTGAATCATTGTCAGCTGCTATAAATCTATAGGCTCTTTAAGGTCTCTAGAAAAGTCTTTATTCAGTAATACAGATCTCCCCATTTAATCTTCTCCATCTCAGATGAGTCAGTAACCAGTGTATGTGGTAGAAGTTTATAGAAATGTGTCCACCCCGATAACTAGTTTTAAATGTCATTGGTTTGCCATGAAGTCCTTGTGGTATTTCCTTGCCCTGTGATCCTCCAGTGAGGATAAAGGCCCCTTTGGGGACCTGAACTAGGCCAGAGGGTCTGTGACAGCTGAAGATGATTCAGAGGCATACTGGAGTCAGCCAAAACCAATTGTTGCCAAGAAGTACAGCTCACTGGCTGTATTTGCTCATATTTTTTTTTCCTCCTTTCACCCATCTGCACTTCCCACAAGCTGTACCTGCTTCTCTCCTTTCAGCCCCTCTTACTAATAGTTTACATCATTGTTTTGCATTGATTTTTGCTGTATCACACTTCATCCCGGGCACTGTCTGTTCTTCCTTTTGCATCATGAGCTTGACTAAAACTGCTTTTCCTAAAAGCTCTGGGGGCTATCCCCTCCCTAACTCACAGAGTAAGTTATCTCTTCATTCCATGCCCTCCCCAGCTCTGTTTCTTTTCCCTTACTAGGCCTTCAGTAGGTTTCTCCTATCAGTCATCTCACATTCTATTGAAGTTCCCTGCAAATAAGTAAAAAGTTCAGGGGTAACCTAATAGTAGCCTGCTAGGACCTGCAGGGAGGTTATCAAGAAGACAAGCCCATTCTTCGCAGTGGTGAACAGGAAGATGAGAGACAATGGTGATAAGTTGAAACAAGAGAAGTTCTGAGTGGATATAAGGGGGGGGAAAAAAATCATTATGAGATCAGTCAAACATTGAAGAAGATTGCTAAGAGAGACTGTACATTCTTCATCCTTAGAGATTTTTGAGACCCAGCTAGATGAAACCTTGAGCAACCTGGTCTGGCCTTCTTGCTGACCCTGCTTTGAGCAGAATACTAGACTAGTGACCACCTGAGGTCCCTTCCAGCCTGATTTATTCTGTCATAAGTTTATTCTTGGCTTCATTCTCATTTTCCTCTCTACCAGTCTTGTCCACAAGACCATCCTGGTGAATTATCTCTCTAGTTCACTTTCAGTTCAATATCTTTTCCCAGGGCCTGCATTTCTCTGCCTAACTTAAAATCTCAGCCTTTCATACTGATGCCTGCCTGTTAACATCTAGCTATCACACTTAGTTTAGTTGAAACACGATTAATCCCACTCCCCTCTCCTCAAGCACGTCCCCTTGATTTCTAAGCCATCATGGATTTTGCTACTGTTTGGCCTATTCCAGATATTTTGTTTTTTCTGGTTGCAGAGGGACTCTAAAAAAAATCTCAGTCACCCAGACCATTTTAGCTGTGTCTGCCTGAGTTTGTAGAGATCTGAATGCAGTGAATTTCCTGCTGTTTTCAGAAGATTCTGAAATCACACTGATTTCACTTTTAAAATGCTAGTACTTCACTGCTTTTCAAAGCATGGAAGAGATAGAGAGACATAGCTATCATTTTGGGTTGATGTTCAAGAAAACACTGCAGAGCTGAA